CTCCCAGACTGTCGCCCAGGGCTCAACCAACCGAGGCCCTGGGCTCAACTGCCTTTGCAGGAGTCTGAGGCTCACGATGCACTCCAACCAACTGGCGTGCGGCAACTGTCTGATACCCACTTTGTGAAATGCTGAATGAAGGTCTCTCGTGGATAATCTGGCCCGCCTTCACTTAGGGCGGGCACGAGGCTTGCTGGGTGCCTATGCCCAGAACATATGCATGTCGGCAAGGCCCTGTTGAGGGCTCAATCCTCACATTCCATCCCCCTTAGCTTCGAAAGTCCGCTGAGATGCTTACTTCGCAGGTGCCTTCCCCTTTAGCTGTCGTTCATATTCAGCTACCACCTGAGGTGCTGTTTCAATCAGTTCCTCTCAGGTGAACCATCGATCTTCTTTAGGATCCGTGTGATGCCTGAATCTGACTCTGTACTCTCTTCTGGGTTTCGGAGGTCTCCCTCGGCCCAGAGGTCTTGGGATAGGCGTATCTCTGTGTTCCAGTATGTCGCCGACGTCCACGTGGCCATCTATGGATGGGGGCAGCATTGATTTCCCTGAAGGAAATTGATCTATCTCAGCGAAAGGTGCAAGTTTTGAGGCGTGAAAAACAGGGTAAGTGCGCAAGTGACCAGGGATACGGACAACATAGGAAGGACCATCCAAATCATCCCCAACTATGTCCAGGACTTCCCAGGGACCAAAGTACTGAGGCATTAGTTTTCGAGAGATACCGAAGTCCTATCCTAGCTCACTAGCCTTGACCCAGACACATTCCCCTACCTGAAATGTGGACTGTCGACGATGTTTGTTCTCAGAAGCAATCATTGCTTCCTGAGATTTCCTGATGTGCTCGACAGCTTGCTGTAGCAACTTCTCATACTGCACACCATGCTCTAGTGTGCCCGGAGTTGCAGACAGTCGGTTTTCAGGCAGGAGGAAGTCCAGCGCTAATCTAGGCTTCCATCCCAAGTGTAGCTGGTTAGGATTGACGCCGGTACTGCTGTGTACAACGTTGTTGTACAGGCTGGCGATGAGAGGCAATTTCTCATCCCAGGCATCCTGGCTGGGCTTGATGTAATGCCTCAGTAGGTGTTGTACAACTCTGTTCATCTGCTCGGCCTGTCCGTTGGCTTCAGGATGATCCCCGAAGGTCATCTGAAGTTGACTGCCCAATTGCTCAGCAGTCTTCTTCCACAACTCACGTGTAAAGCGGACATCTCTGTCACTAACGATTGTCTTTGGCAGTCCAAAATCACGCACCAGTTGTCCATAAACAACTTGATGACGTGTTCAGTCCTCGCCGTCTTTGGCATGGCAATTAGTCTAGTATACTTGGTGAATCGGTCTATGATGACAAAGATGTGCCTCTTGCCACTCCTACTGGTTACCAGGGTGTCCATGAAATCCATGGAAACACTCTGTCCCGGACCAGCGGGGATAGGTAAGGGCTTCAGCAACCCAAGCGGTGCTTGAGTTCGCGGCTTCTCCCGGTGACAAACCTGACAGGTCTCTACATATTTCTTTGCATCATCTAGCATTCCGGGCCACCAAAATCGTTGTACTAGATTAACACTGGTCTTTTTGTAGCCAAAATGCCAGTTGCGTCATGACATTCTCCTAGAAATAAACTGCGCAAATTCTCATTAGATGGAATAACTAATCTTTTAAACCCGGCCTTTTCAAGAAAGAGTAGCCCGTCCACCATCACAAACTCATCTTCTGTGGCCTTATCTTTCGCCTGCAGCTTGTGTATGATGTCCATAATGACAGGGTCTTCCTGATAGGCTCCCACCAGCGATTGAGTTACTTCTTCAGATACGCCAAATTCGGAAACTAGCGCCCCTAGGTAGTCTTCCCTACGTGATAGCGCATCTGCAACCTTGTTGTACTCTCCCTTCAGATACTCTAGCTTGAAGTCGTACTGATCTATGACCTCAATCCAGCGCTTGAGTGCATCAGAAATAGCAGGTTGAGTCTTGATCCATTTAAGGGTCTGATGGTCAGTTCTCAAATAGAAAAAACGTCCCAACAGAAAGTGCCTCCAATGGACAAGTGCCTTGTAAAGGGCATAGAGTTCCCTTTCGTAGGTGGACTTCGCCAGTTTCTTTGATGACATTTTCTTGGTCATGTACTCAATCGGTCTCAACTTCTTCCCATCCTGCTGAGCCAGCACTGCGCCAATGCCGTATTGGCTTGCGTTAGTGGTCACAATGAAAGGCTTCTGAGGATCGGGCACCATGAGAACCTCATGATTCATGAGTGCATGCTTCAGCCGTTTGAAAGCAGCCTCGCACTCATCACTCCAGTCCCACGGCGTATCAAGTCGAGTTAGATCAGTCAAAGGAGAGGCAACCGTGGAATAGTTTTTCACAAAGTTCCTATAGTAGCCGCACATCCCTAAGAAAGATCTGACCTCAGTAACAGTCTGAGGTCGTGGCCAGTCCCTAATACTAGCCACCTTCGCATCTTCCGGCCTAATCCCTTCCGCGGATACCTCATGCCCCAAGTACAAGATCCTAGTGCGTCCAAACTCACGTTTTTCTAGGTTGATCTTATACTTGTGCTGTCGCAGGAGTGAGAGTACAGTTTCTAAGTGTTGTGCATGCTCCTCGATAGACTTACTAAAGATAAGAATATCATCAAGGTACATGACGACAAACGTATCTAAGTAGTCATGGAAGATCCTATTCATGTACCCGACGCATTGCAAAGGCCAAAGGGCATCACCACAAACTCGCACAGACCGTATCTGGTCAGAAATGTGGTTTTGTGGCAATCTGATGGTAGTCGGGCTTTAAGTCTATCTTGTTGTAGTACTTACATCCTTGCACCCTATCCAATAGGTCGTCTATGCGAGGTAGAGGCTCTGCGTTCTTCACTGTGATGGCATTGAGGCCTCTGTAATCAATGCACATCCTCAACGATCCCCCCTTCTTCGGTACAAATAGCAATGGAGATCCGAAGGGGGAAGTACTCGGTCGTATCCAACCCTTTTCTGTCAGCTCTTTCAGTTGTCGCCGAAGTTCGTCCAACTCGGCCGAACCCATCCTATAGATCCTTCCCTTTGGGGTTTTACTCCCTGGAATTATTTCTGTGGCGTGGACAATCTCCCTATCTACGACTCCTGTGGGCTCCTTGAACAGATAAGGGAACTTAGCAATGATGTGTGCTATCTCTGGGGGTGTTTTAACGGCCTCCCCTTTCTCAGAGACATACACTAGGTACGTACCCTCCTCTTGGTTCTGTTTATAGTATAGGATTCTAGTAACCTACTAGCCTTATACTTGGCCAGTCTCACGGTCCTTCCATCCGACAACTTATGCTTTAGCACCTTCTTGTCCCAGTCAAACTGGGGCTTGGCAACCTCAAGGTAGTACATTCCTAACAGCATATCAAATGGTAAGTCGTCGCTAACCAGGAACGAAATCTTGTGATTAAGTTCCGCTCCTCCATAGGAGAAGGTACAGACTACATCCTTGACATAGTCTGTGACAACCATGCGCTCCTTATTGGCCAAAGTAGATGCTACCGGTCTACTAAGGTGCTGAACTCGGTCCTCTAGGTGCAGCCTTTCCAAACAGTTGCGACTTATATAATTCCACGTGGAACCGATGTCTATGAAGGCACCACATTTGCAGCGTCCTACAACAACTTCCACGACGAAATGTTCCCCTCTAGGACCTCTACTTAGTGCCACCCAAGATTCGCGAGGGTCCTTGC